GAAGAAAGCAATATCAACACTTTCCGTCAATCAAATTGGAGGGATTTTTTTCCTTGCCCTAAATTGGACGGATTTAACCGAAGACTAAATTGAACAATTTTAAAACTCGATTACGTTATTTAAAATTTTAAAACTTCTTGCACTTTAATGGTAAGTTTTAGAACTTTTATTGCAGTTTTTTCGAAAAAGAAAGAATTCCAAGGTGGGGGACATGTCAGTCGGCACCCCTAGTCAGAAACCCCTAGTCAGAACACAAGATCGGCCTAAACCCTAAACCATTGCCCCCGCCACCGACTCACAACGTTCCAAATTCAAATATTCTGGCCAACGCCTTCTTCTCTGTGCAATCTCTCCCGTCCGTGGTAAGCGATGGGGATATTCGAACCGTACAGAGCAGTCAGGTACATCACTGCCGGCAACCCCTTCTCCGTCCAGCGCCTCGGCACCGAGACCTTCATCGCCATCGGCGTTGGCAAGGCCTTCCAAGTGTACAATGTAAGACGCCCTTGGTACGACGTTTCGCAGTTCATGTTTTGGATTGGGGTGTCGCCAAGTGATTTGATTCGTCGTCCCCCTTTTCCGGTCTTCTTTCTGTTTTGATGCTTGCAGTGCGCGAAGCTGAGCTTGGTCCTTGTGGGTGAGTATCTCTTCCTTTAATTATCGTCGGGTGACTCAGTGTGATCAGGGGGTCTTTCAGACCAAGTGCGCGCACGCGCTTGGGTTGACCTCTCTGCCTCTCATTTTGAATTCATATCTTTTGTGTTGCGAAAGCTCTGTCTTGTTTTCGCCCTTGGGTCTAGTACTTTGGGAAATGGCGTATGCATGGCAATTCCTGAGCTACTTCAATGTCTCTTTACACTTCTGATTGGGGGGTTTTCGAGTTGTTTTTATGTTGGTATTCACAATCTCTTTCGTTTTGAAGGAAAAGCTAATTAGCAGTGCCCGTTTGGGAAGTATAACTGCTCGTGTTGAATTTTTTGTAATGACAATTTCATGGGCTATAATGTGCTTGATCATGCTATGTGATCGCGTTTCTTCCACTTTAAATAAATGGGGAATTCCTTTATTTCTCGTTGCTTTTCATTTTCTGGCAGTTTCTTTAGTCAAGTAACGATTAGATGAACATTTTTTTTTTATGAAGGTCCCCATTTATGGTTGTGATTGATTGAGAGAGAAATGATTTAGTCACTGCCACTTGTTTTTGGTCCTCAGCTTCCGAAAAGAAGGTCCTTTGAGAAGTTTCAGTTTGCGACTTTTCATGAGCATGTCTTTATAGTGTTCTTTCTTTTGAAAGCTCTTTTGAGAAGTGGCTATTTTTTGTCGCACTTGCTTGTGCTATGTTGTCTTAGGAAAACCTTGGTTCCCCTGAGGAAACAAAATCTAAGAATCTTTGTAACAGCCCGAATTTCGACGTAATTCCGGGATCAATAAAATTATCAATATTTCGCATTTCATTTTAGTAAGTCTCACCCAGAGCTGATCACTCTCGGGATACTAACCAATAGGGTATGGCTAATTAGAAAGCGGTACGTGGACCAAGGATCCGATCGCGAAGCGGACACCGATCACGAGAAATAATGAGAGAATATTATGAACCAATGTGGATCGATCTTAGGAAAGGTAACGGATTTGGTTTGGCCAAGGCCAACGATGTATAATTGGATTCGCAGGTGATTCTGCATGACCGAGAGTGCACGTGGCCAACCAGTCCTGAACTTAAATCGGATGATCGTGACCTCTGGGACTAGTGATAATTTCTCATTCTCTCAATGATCAGGACCGTCATGACTCGGATAACCCTAGGTCGATACGCGTAACCTCTAAACAGCCGCCCGTTAGTGAGAGACCCTGAAATTGGAAATTGAGCGAGTTTTGATCACGAAATTGGGCCCGGATTTCGATGTTGATTTTCGATGGCTTAAGAGACTATTTTTGGGAATCTGACGTCATATTATGCTGGCCACGCATATTTTGAGTTAGTACAGTTGAAAATTGGAATTTCGGTCCGGAGGTGAAAAATTACGATTTTGCCCCTTGGGACACCAACGTCGCTTTTCGAGGTCAAATGAGGTTATTTTTCGTGGCTGACGCCATTTTTGGGTGGCCACGCATACCAGGAGTAGTTATGGCCAAAAATTGGAATTTCGACAAAAATTGAGAAAATAATATAATTTTATTCCCGAAACTTCGCAGTCGATTTTCAAGGGCTTAAAGGGCTGTTTTCGCGATTCCGACGCCATATTATGTTGGCCACGCACATATGGAACACATATGTGCGAAAATTGGAATTTCGCCCCGGGACCGAAAAAATGACGGTTTTGCCTCTGGGCCGTTTTCAGTTCCGAATTTTGGGAAAATTATTTGGGATATTCAAGAGTGCTTATCAGCTGAATTATTGGGGCTATTGACCTTTTTTCCCATCCATTATTAGATTAGGTTGATTTTAGACCGTTAGATTAGGGGCATTTTAGTCATATTGCTCGGATCGGCGACACGTGTCCACCTAAGCCCCTATTTTTGACCAGATCTGACCAGTTCTCTCTCTCTCCTCCCTCATTCGGCAGATCAACCCCAAGAGCAGCCCCTCCCCCACGCTTCCTCCTCATCCATCGTTCTCTCTTTCTTTTGGCCGTTCACGCCGGAGCTTGTCGGACCGCCGCCGGAGCTGCTGGTCGCCGGCCGTCGCTGCTGCTGCCTCGTTCGATCACCCACCAGCATCACCACCCTCACCCCGTCTCCCTTTCTCTCTCTTTCTCCCTCTTTTTCTCTCTTTCCAGTCCGGCAAATAGGGCCGCCGGAGCTTCGCCGGAGCTCCGATCGCCATTCCGTCGACACCCAGCCGTCCAGCCACACTGTACGACGCCAACCGCACCTATCCGTACAGTGTCCGTACGTTCTGTACTGTAGCGCCGTACGGTCACCGTCGTACGGCCGTCGCGCCGGCCACCGTTTCCCAGCCTGTCCGTACAGTGTCCGTACAGAGGGGGGGGGGGGTACAGTTCACCGCGTCCGTACGGTCGCTATTCACGCCGTCCGTACGCCGTCGCCGGAAATTCAGCCGCCGATTTCACTATTCACCAGTGATCGGCCGCCGTTCCCCGTCGTCGTGACCTTGGATTAGGTGAGTAAAATTCCTAAATCCGGATTAGGACTGATAGTGCGTTTTTCTGGACTGGTTTAGGTATTATCGGTGCATTTTTTGACTGGCTTAGGTAATATCAGTGTATATTTCAGACTGGGATGAGGACTGATTGGTAGAAATTATTATTGAGAAAATTTAGTGGATTAATGAGAATTATTTGGGGAGATTAATTGGATTAAATGACCAATTTAGGAGCCCATTGGAAAACTACCGAGTATGTCCGGGTTGACTGGTTGTACGTAATTTGTGCTTAATTGTGATTGACTTCGTACTGCCATGTCATATGTCGTGTGGTTGAATTATGTGGAATGCGATTGGCCAATGATTGGTTTGAAATTAATTGTTGATTTGTGATTCGCACGTTAGGCCACACGGTATTAATTGGGTCAATTGAGCACGTGTTGTGATATTGAGTGTTTGAATTATATTGGCGCTCGTGGTGCATTGCATTGCATAATATGGACACGCATTGTGTATGCCAAGAGTGAGGCATGTGATGAAATTGTGCGAGAATGCGTGCCTGCCATGAGTGTGTGATCACCTAAAATACCCCGAAGCGTCATACGCTGGGTTCAGATAATAATGAGTTGTGTGATCACCTAAGGACCTTCGGGTCATGACCTTTGGGTCGATACCGCCCTCATGCACTTTGAAGCAGGACGATGCCCGGTACGTTCGGAAGACGACCATCCTCATGCACTTTGAAGCAGGCTCTGGTTCATAAGGAGATCAGTGTTGCGCCTTATGCACTTTGAAGCAGGCTAGAGACACTGGGCCAGATCGGTTGCTGCGCCTCATGCACTTTGAAGCAGGCTAGACGCACCGGGCCATGAATGTTGTTGACTCGAGTCGTCGTAATGATTAATAAATTGGGCGATTGCCAGTGTGGGCCAGTGGGCCGGGAAATGCACGTGACATGTCGACGACACTAACATGCATGAACACGCGTGGACTGGCATGCGAGTGTGTGAGACTCGGTCCATGAGCATGTGATTGGCGTACGTGTGACTAGGTGTGCCACGTATGTGCCGTGATTAATATATATTGAACTGTCTAACCTGCAGGGTCAGAGAACTATTTGATTATTGTTGTGTTATTGTTTTAAGTATTTGTTTCCGGTCAGGAGATTGCATGCTAGCCTAGCCTAGGTTTAGGGATTGAACTTACTGAGATTCGTCTCACGGTTGTGTAAACCGAAACTTTTCAGACCCCCAGCAGTAGGATGCCGATGTCACCACCTCTTTTTGGAATACCGCATTTTATCCAGCGGTCGTCGAGCATGCACCCCGGTAGGGACGGAGCAGAACGGAGAAGTGGCTATTTGGTTATTCCCAGCTGTTGGTGTTTCCTTTTTGGTTGTAGCGATTATTGTAAAAAGGTTTTCTATAGTAATATAAAGTGTACATATTTTTAGTAGCGATTGATTGTTGTCGTGCTATCCATTGTTTTATTATTATTATGATCAGGGTTTGTTTATTTCTTCCGCTTGTGCTTATTCTCTGTTGGCGTTGGGTCGGCGACGTTTCCTGGGACGTCGCACTATAATCGACCGGAGGTACGATGCTCGCGCTTCGTGGGGTACGGGGCGTGACAATCTTAGTCCGATGAGTATTCGCCACACTTTTGAGGTTTGAAAGAGGAAGAAATTACAATATGGCAAGCAAAAACTAATAGTCTACAACACAAGTAACAATTTCCTCAAATGTCCGATTCTTCCATTCTCATTTCTTTCTCCATCATCAGTGTAACTGCTTTAAACATGTAAAACGTACATATTCTGCAAGGGACGATATTGTGTCTAAACCTTCACCTTCTTCCCGATTTTTCTGTATCTTAAAGGTACTCTTGTACGATGAACTAACAGCTGGGCTTGATCCTATTGCATCCACTGTGGTTGAAGATCTTATCTGATCTGTGCATTTGAAAGGTGAAGATGCACTTGGAATAAAGCCTGGGAAGATAACGTCATGTGTGGTTGTCTCTCATCAGCACAGCACCATCCAAAGAGCTGTCGACAGGTTCTACTTTACTGTTCCCATCGCTCCAGTGTTTTCTCTGTCATTTTTCGTTTTGCTCAAGAGTAAATTAACATGTTCAGGTTGATATTTCTTTCTGAGGGAAAGATAGTCTGGGAAGGAATGACTCATGAGTTTACGTCGTCGGCAAATCCGATTGTCCGGGAGGTAATTATCATAGCTTCCCTTTCCAACCTTTTCGTTTCACTCATTTACTTTTTTCAATATCGTATATGGATCTCACTCCATTTAAACTTCTTTACAACATGGGTGCTTTCGTGATATACCTAGTAATCTGTAAGTTTCATGTGAAAATGCGAGATTAGTATTTCTTTCAATTGGTACTTTACATATAAACTGTTCCACAGAGGAGTGACTTTTAGAGGGTTTGTTTACACAACCAGGCAACACTCGAATGACATAGGCAAGACATTTGAGTTGTCCCTGGTTTGGTTATTGTAGTCTCAGTTTCCTTTTCCTTATGAATGATTATTTCATTTAAATCTTCCTAAAGATGGTTTTTGCCCTTTCTTTCTTCGATGTGAACAGTTAGCTTCAGGAAGCTAGGACGGTCCAATTAAATACTAGTGCTTGATGTATACGAAAAGTAGTCATGGTCTCGAGATTTTCTAAAGAGGTGGGTCAAGTGGCTCGCGAACTGGCTGTGGTTGGGCCACCTGATGTGCTCGCATGTGCAACACAGTTAACTTACATTGTAGGGGCTAACAGAAGTTGCATTGCATTGTGGACATGACCAAGATGGGTTGATAAAAGTTATACCTTCACCACAGGGCATCAGGTTGGTTGTTTGTATGATAATTCGATTTCTAATAGCAGAATTGAGATCGTCGTATTGAAAATTTATTTCGAATGTTTTGGCTATTAAGATTTGACTCCAGAAGTAGCATTTTTGGACTGAACCAAGTATACTGTATTGAATTTACTCTGTACCATGTCAAATGAGAAGCAACTCTCAAGAGAACTGGTTCAACAAAAAGCAAAAAGCAACTCTCAAGAGAACTGATGGTTACTTTCTCTCAAAGTCCCCATCTCGTGAAATGCATGCTTGAAGGTGCGTGAGTGCAATCTAATGCTGCTTTGTCCAATGAAAATATTTTGGTTAACTCATTTTCCAAAAGCAATATATAAAAGATCGAGGTAGGAAAGTCTTTCCTAAATTATTGATTTTCCTTGAAATGAATGCACCCTAAATGAGCTTCAAATCATTATTAAAACTCTCAAATTGATACTTTTATCATACATTTATCTGAAGTATGTTTTGTTAGACAAAAATACCTAATCTGGTGGTCCATAACAAATTTTATATCAAATTAATTTTTGTCTAGAAAAAACTCAAATTGGTATCCATGATCTAAATCTCCCCTTAGATAAAATGCATACTTGTCAACAAACGTGGATTTTTTGTCGGATTTGTCATTTTTTATGTCAGATCCGTCCTATAATCGTCTGTTATGTGTGTTGACACCTATGCGTTTTAATGGTATATTGGACGAAATGCCAATGGAGGGTAGATTTGGATTAGAGGTACTAATTTGGCTTTATTTGCGAAATGAAAATTAATTTGGAAAAAGTGTTATGGGAGTACACTACAAAAAAACCGGGTTTTTCCGACGAAAATTTCCGACGAAAAAATTTTCGTTGGAAATTTGCAACGACATTTCCAACGAAAAATAAAATCGTCGGAAATTTGCGACGAAAAATTCTTCGTCGCAAATTTCCGACAAAATTTTCCGACGAAGCATTTTTTGTCGGAAATTTTCGACGAATTTTCCGACGAAGCACTTTTCGTCGGAAATTTCCGACGAAATTTTCCAACGAAATATTTTCGTCGCAAATCTCCGACAAAATTTTCCAACGAAATATTTTTCGTCGGAAATTTTTGACGATTTTATTTTTCGTGGGACATTTCATTGCAAATTTCCAACGAAAATTTTTTCGTCGCAAATTTCCGACGAATTTTGGCGACGAAAATATTTTCATCGGAAATTTCCGACGAATTTTATTCGTGGCAAATTTGCGACACGAAAAATGATTTTTTTGATATCTGTCCCGACCCCCAATTTCTCTCTGTCGACTGATTCCTCTTATCCCCTCACTGTTCTCTCTCCGTCTCTCTCTTTCATTTCTCTCGAATTACTTATCGGTGCACGCGCAAATCAATCTCGGTAAAGCTTTTTCGCCGGTAAGTGTCGTGGCTAATTTCATGAATAATTGGCGACGAAAACGGTTCGTCGCAAAATTATTCATCGCTGGATTTGTATTTGTTGGTGTTATTAAAAAAACAAATTTCCCTTCCTCACTAGTTTGGCCAATCGCCGGCCATGGGGCGAGGTCCAGTGGCCTGGCCATGGCCGTCGGTCAACCTCGCCGACGCACAGGTGGGCTAGCCTCGCATGGGCCTCGCCGGCCAAGCTCGAGATCTGGGCGAGCTCGCCGGCCAAGCTCGCCAGCCATGGCGAGCTCAGCCCCGGCCGGCGGCGAGGCTGGCCCTTGCCGGCACGGCGAGGGCCGAGCTCACCCGGATCCGGGCGAGATCCGGGCCTCGCCGGCCATGGCGAGCTCGAGCTCGCCGGCGGCTTGGCTGGCCCTCGCCGGCACCGGCGAGGGCCGAGCTCGCCATGGCCGACGAGCTCGAGCTCGCCATGGCCGACGAGCTCGAGCTCGCCCGGATCTGGGCGAGCTCGAGCTAGCTGGCGGCAAGGGCCGAGCTCGCCATGGCCGGCGAGCTCCAGCTCGCCCAAACCTCGGCGAGATCTGGGCGACCTCAAGCTCCTCGGCGGCTTGGCTGGCCCTCGCCGGCACTGGCGAGGGCCGAGCTCGCCATGGTCGACGAGCTCGAGCTCGCCCAGATCTGGGTGAGTTCTGGGCGAGCTTGCCGGCCATGGCGAGCTTGGCCCTCGCCGGTGCCAGCCAGGGCCAGCCTCGCCCCCGGCGAGCTCGAGGTCGCCCAGAACTTGTCCAGGTGAGCTCGCCGGTCGCCAAACCGGCGACCGGCCAAGAAGAAAGGACAAAAAAAAAGAAAAAGAAAAAAGAGAGAAAAAAATAAAAGATAATTAAAAAATGAATTTTAATTAATTTGTTTTTATTTTAGGTACGTGTCCATTTGAAGGTCTCGCAATCCAAGTGAACGTTGCAATTCTCATCAAATAGACCACTTTCTACTACAAAGATTTCAGTCAAATACTTGGTAAGTTTTCTTGACATGGTAATTTTTCATTTTTTTCAAGTTGAAAGTAATTGTTTCGTAAAAAAGAAAATTGTAATTGTTAGAATTTTATGGTTTTAATTAACAATATTAAACAATAGATATGATATTTTTAATATTGTACGAGAATTTTTTTATTTTTATACAGACACAATGCAAAGAGACAGGGGTTGGATGTATAATAAGAACTTACCTGGACGTCAAGGATTGACCGATGAGTTTCGAATCGGGGTGGAACTATTTTTGGACTTTGCTAGTAATAAATATGAATTCATGGATGTAAATAAGTTAAGGTGTCCATGTAGAAAGTGCAGTAATGGAAAATTTCAAGACATTGACATAGTTAGAGAACATCTTTGTAGATTTGGGTTTACTCCGAACTATTATAATTGGACTTACCATGGTGAACAATTTATATCTGATGACGGATATCGAAGAAGCGATCAATTGTTAGTTAGGGAAGAATGTAGCTATTATGACCAATTGAACCCATATCAGGGGATGGTGTTTGATGAAGCAGGCCATAATTTTATTTCAGAATCGTATCATGCAAGTACTAGTTTAACTCCTACACTTGAACAAGTGGGAACTAATCATGCATCACAATTGGAAGAGGCAGGAGTTACAGGTTTTGATGAGAATGTGTGTGATGGAACTTTTCAATCTAATCAGTTATGGGAAGTGTTGAAAACAGCATATGAACCTTTATGGGCAGGTTGTGACAACCACACGAAGGTATCAGTGACAGCAAGATTGTTAAATATCAAGGCAGAGCATAATGTGTCTGTGGATTGCTTCAACTCTTTTGTTGAAGTAATGCGGGAAACAATGCCTCGTGATAACATCATGCCAAGTGACTTTTACGATATGAAAAAGCTAGTGGATAATTTAGGTCTTCTAGTTGTAAGGATTGATGTATGTAGTATCGGTTGTATGTTATATTGGAGAGATGATGAAAATGCAGAATCTTGCAAATTCTGCAGCCAACCTAGGTACAAGATTAACAGGAGGCAAGGTCGTAATCAGAAGCGTAGACCATGTAAACAAATGTTCTACTTGCCCTTAATCCCCAGGTTGCAAAGGCTTTATGCGTCTCAAGCCACTGCTGAACACATGACTTGGCATGCAAATCATGAAACAGAAGAGGATCTAATGTGTCATCCTTCAGATGCAGAGGCATGGAAACATTTTGATAGAACATATCCCGAGTTTGCGATAGAGCCTCGAAACATCAGGTTAGGTCTGTGTGCTGATGGTTTTGCCCCATTTGGGAAATTAGGAAAAAGTTATTCATGTTGGCCAGTTATCTTAACTCCGTACAATTTTCCACCCGGTATGTGCATGAAGACACCTTATATGTTTTTGACATTGATCGTGATTGGCCCGCAAAATCCGAAAAAGTTGACAGATGTTTATATGCAACAATTGATTGAAGAGTTACAACGACTATGGGATGAAGGTGTCCCTACGTATGACGTTTCTACCGATCAAACATTTGTAATGAAGGCTGCTCTTCTTTGGACGATAAATGACTTTCCAGCTTATGGAATGTTATCTGGATGGAGTACAGCTGGGATCTTAGGATGTCCGATATGTATGGAGAGATCGAAATCATTCAGATTAAAGCACGGTAAGAAGGCCAGCTATTTTGACTGTCATAGGCAATTTTTGCCGCTAAAGCATACATTCAGAAGGAATAAAAAAGAGTTTATCAAGAATATGATCGAAAGAACACATCCACCATTGAGGTTGACCGGTGATCAAATTTGAGAGCGAGTGCAGGAGTTTCCAACGGTTGTTGAAAACCCTCACGGCACAACTATTGGGTACGGAAGTACACATAAATGGACTAAGCGCGGTATATTTTGGGATCTACCATATTGGAAGGCCCATCTTATTCATCATAATCTTGACGTCATGCACATAGAGAAGAACGTTTTCGATAATGTCATAAATACTGTGATGGATGTCACTGGAAAAACAAAAGACAACTTGAACGCAAGAAAAGATATGAGGGATATTTGCGATCGGCCAACACTAGATGTGGATGCAAGCAGCAGGGGACCAAAACCAAAAGCAGTTTATACATTGGACAAGGAGCAGAGACGGGTTGTTTGTCAATGGTTGAAATCGATGCGATTTCCTTATGGATATGCTTCGAATCTAGGGAGATGCGTTGATTTGAATGAATGCAAGTTGATAGGTCTGAAGAGTCATGATTGTCACGTATTTATGGAAAGACTAATTCCAATAGCCTTCAAGGAACTTTTACCAAACTTTGTTTGGGGCGCCATTACAGAGTTAAGTAATTTCCTGCACGATATTTGCTCAACAGCGTTGAAAGCATCACACATGGAGAAACTAGAGAGAGATATTCCAATTATTCTTTGCAACTTAGAAAGGATATTTCATCCATCGTTCTTTGATTCAATGGAGCATTTCTTAGTTCACTTGCCTTATGAGGCCAAAGTTGCAGGTCTCGTCCAATTTTCGATGGATGTATCCATTTGAGAGGTAAGTTTTTTGTTAAATAAATTTGAAATTACTTCATTATATATTATGTTCCGATAAATTTTTTTGTATTGCAACTAGGTTCTTATATCATTTGAAGAAAAAAGTGAAGAATAAGACATGTGTCGAAGCTTCAATTTGTAATGCATATATTGTGGAAGAAGTGACAACATTTGCATCATACTATTTTGAGCCGCGCGTG